GGTTTGATGAGATTTGGAAAGAGTGGGAAGTTATCCCCTCGGTTTATTGGTCCTTTTGATATCCTTGAGCGGATTGGGGAGGTTGCATATCGTTTAGCGTTGCCTTCGTAACTTTCCGGAGTGCATGACGTGTTTCATATTAGTATGCTTCGGAAATATGAGCCGGATCCATCACATGTGTTGGATTGAACCGACTTAGAGGTAGATGAGGATGTCTCGTATGAGGAAAGACCGGTGCGAGTCTTGGATAGACGGGATCAAGTCTTGCGAGGCAAGACAATTCCCTTGGTCAAAGTATTGTGGAAACATCACGGTGTTGAGGAAACAACTTAGGAGCGTGAATTGGAAGTCTGAGAAAAATATCCAGACTTATTTATTGATGTTTGAGTGTATGATGAAATTTTAGTTTTGTTTATGAACCATAAAAACATTGTACATGTTTTGGATTTTGAAGACACTACAAATGTTGAATGCGTTTCGGGAATGCAAGTTTAATATGAGCATTGTATATGTTATTTGAGTTTTGGAAATGTAAATATATTATAAACATTGAATATGTTTGGGAAAAACTTGAAAATTGTTAAATTTCGGAATATGCATATTGATAAATATATGTTGAGCTATATTTTGTGAAATTAATCTCTTGGGAAGGGATGAAATGACCGGTGGACGGGTCATGATAACGAGAATTGAATTGTAATCATTTTGAAAATGGGATAATCATGATTTTGAAACTTGTACTAAAATTTCGAGGACGAAATTCTTTAAAGGGGGGAGGTTATAGTGATCCCAGTTTTGCCCCGACCTTCTTTGTGTCCTGGACTTAGGTTCCGTGGATGAATATCGTATCCTTGTCTTGTTATTCTCTTTTGACTCTTTGTATTTGAGTTTTGGATTATGTTAGGTGTATTTGGAACAGGTTGGTTGTTAGTTGGTTTAAAATGTTGTTGCCCAAATTTTGGATTTTTGTGCTCGAGCGAGGCTTTTTGCGCTCGAGCGAGAATTGAGAGTTCTCAAGTTTCCTTCCAGATACAGCTTTTTTAGGGAGGGGGAAGTTCTTCGCTTGAGCGAGACTTCTTGCCCTCGAGCGAGCTTTGTGTTAGTTGTTCCTACGCTCGAGCGAGGCTTCTTGCACTTGAGCGTGCGTCTGCGTCTATGTCAGACCTGAAGTTTTGCATTCTGCGCTCGAGCGACGCTTTTTGCGCTCGAGCGAGGTCACTTGTTGTGTCTGGTCGCTTAAGCGACAACTCTTTTGCTCGAGCAAGGACTGCGCATATCAGTTTACAGCAGAGGAGTTTTACATCGTTTTTTGAATCTCTTTTTGCTAAAAACCCTAGATCGACTGTCTCTCTCTCTAAAAGTTCAACTTCTCACTACAAATCTCTTAGAATCTAAGAGTTTCTACCATAGTCCCTTTGTTAAAAAGGTAGAGTTTTGCAATCTTCAAAGTTTCTCCCTTCTTCTCCTTTGAGCTTCTACACTTGAGGTAAGAATATTTTACTATTTGATATGGATTTTAACCTAGACGTTTGTCATTTGTATAAATGGAGTGATTTGGGTAAAAGTTATGGTTTGGGCTCTAACTAAAGATGGGTTTTCATGTTGATTTACAAAGTAACCTTGGGGGTTTGTGTATGAGATTCTTTATTGTTAAAATGGTGAGATTTGGACTTATAGGTTGATGTTTTGGAATAGGGGGAAAATTACCCTAAGCTGAGTTGAAATAACTATTTGTGTAAATAATGAAATTGGTTTGGGAATTATGAAATTGGGGGAATATGTGATTGAATGGTGTAGTTTGGTTTCATAAATCACACACCTATGAAAGAGTTGATAATTTATCTATTTAGAAAATATCTGTTTTGGGCTATCGGTGGAGGATAGTTATGATTGTTGTACAAACTGCATGAGGACTAGGTAAATTGGAACTAGTCATGTGAATATTGTCATTGAATATGACGGATTGATTAAATTGTTAAATATGTGAATTTTGGTAGTCATTGTATATGGCATGCTTTTAAATACATTGTATATGTATTGTTGTTTATGAGGAGATATGGGATATACTCCATTGTTTGAGAGGAGATAGGTGATGGACTCCATTGATAATTAAGTTGGCCGGAGTGTCTAGGGTGAAAATTCCGAAATGATGCGTATATGGGTGCCGGTTCCCTCAGACGTGATTCCGTAAAATGGCAAGAAAATAGAAGTGTTGAATAATGTTTGTTATTGAAGCGTTGATAAATGAGTTGTAGTCTCGTTTTGAATTGTTTAGATAACAATGAACTATGTCAATGAATTGATTTAGATAAATGAATAGAAATTGACTGAAATACGGATGTCGATATTGATTGGTCATGAAAAATGTGTAAGTTGGTTTACTAGTATTGAACATTTATCTGATGCTGATAGCTTAGTTAATTCTCATATATTGTTTAACAAATCTCTATTGGGCTTTGGCTCACCTTACTTGGGAAACCATTTTCAGGTACAGATGACATGCCGTCTCCAAGGACATAGCTTGGGGAGGTTTAGGGGCTGAAGGCTCCATTTTGCATATTTTGTTTTGTGATTAATGTAAATTCAAGCCGAGGGCTTTATATGTATAGAGCTAGGACTCTTCCTTTGTTGTAACCAAGTGATAACTTGGAAAGATATAAACCCATAAGGCACTTATTTTTGCTGTTAACAATTAGAGTTATATGCCATAGTTTCAAGATGAACATTGACGAAAGTGTAATGCGCGCAAAATTTTTTGTAATATAGACTCTAACGAATGAGAATATAATATTTCTAGTATGTCTATAGATTTTATGAATGGTTGGTTATATCATAATTTGAGGGCGTTACAGATTGCCTTCAATGTCAAACATGGGCATGGCTTGAGATTATTTTGAAAGAAATTTTGGAATTTCATTTAAAAAAAAAAAAAACACAAACACAAACAAAAACAAAAACACAAACACAAACACAAACACAAACACAAACACAAATTCTCTTTATCTTATCTTCTTCTTGACTTTCTTTTCTCTCATTTTATTTATTTAAATGTAACAAAAAGTTTACTCATTTATTTGGAAATAGGTTATTTTAGTCATTTTTTGACTTTTTAACTAAAATATGAGGTAAAAAAATTAGTATATTTTAAATGATTTTTTGATTTTTTACAAAAAAATGTGCAAAAAGTAGAGCGAAAATGAATTTTTTGACTTTTTGATACAAGTTATAGATTTTTTGATTTTTTATGCTAAAACAATTACATGCCAAATGAGACTTTATTAATCACATATCTTTAAAACTTATAATTCTCGTTCCTTTCTTAGCAAGTGCGTGAACGAGTTTTTTTGAGTGAATATGAACAAGAAGTTATATAGTTGAAAAGTATGTTAAAAATTAGTGTTTTAAACTTTTTTTGATTTTTTTAAAAAAGTATACATAATAAATAAATAAATAATGTGACTAAAAAGATATTAAAAATTAAGAAGTAACTTTTAATCTTTAAAGAGGCCATGATATTTTACATGAAATGAGGTGTGCATCTCTTAATAGACTACACAGTTAAGTAGAGTATACAATTCAACCAACTATGCTAGAGACCCCCCAGTGGGGAGCGACCCCCAGCATCCCCAGTGCCACTTGTCTTGCTGTGAGAGCAAGACTTGAAAAAAAAAATAATAATAATTTTGGGCCAATCAAAAACCAGTGGGGGTAGTGGGGGTCTGGGGCAATTTCCCAATTCAACCATGTTTATTATTATATCCAAATCAAATTGAGGTATCGTTTGGGAGCTAAATAGAATAATAGTACAGCCGTGCTGGGACCCCCAGCACCCCTAGCCCCACGTGGAAGCTACGCAAGACTTGAAAAAAAAAAAATTTTTTTTTTGACCAATCAGACCCCACTGGGGGTCCTGGGGGTCACCCCTAGTGGGGGTTTGATGCATTTTTCATAGTAGTATATGTATTAATTAATATATTAATTATTATATTAATAAATAATGGGATATAATTTTAGAGGTTTTGGATATTTATAATTTGTATAATAGGTGAACTCAGTAATAATAGTATAATACTAGTTAGTACACTAGTGTGTATATTAATTGGTGCATGTAGCACTACAAAATTAAATATTTTAGTTAAAAAATCCCTATAAATTTTCACATTATTCTCTCTATTTTTTATATATTTTTTCGTAAAAAATAAAAAAATTATTAAAATAATCTGTTTCCAAACGAGACCCCATATTACTTATTAATTGCAACAAATCTTATTAATAAACATATATTATAAATTAGTTAAATTCGGATTAAAAAATATTTAACATATAAATTGGCAAATTATATCATACCCAAATTAAATTAAAGTAATAAAAATTTGCAGTAAAAAAAAATTCAAAAATTACTAACACAAATTTAGAAAGAATAAATCTAAAGTATTAAAAATTACAATTAAATACATGAAAATATATTTTAGAAAAAACAATTTTTTCTAAAAATAATTTAAAAACTAAGTGTGATTCGAAGGCAATCCTATCAACCAAGACACAAAACAAATAATAAAAAGGAAAATGATTTTTCTCCCGAAATTTCCCTCCCCTGAATAGCCCGAAAAACAGATAGAAGAGAAAGAGAAGAGAAAGAGGAGGGGAAGAGGGACTGGGGAGAGAGAGAGGGCCCCTCCACTTTTGCCGATCGATCATAGCTTGTTGCAGCTCGTCGGCCGATCGTCGCAGCCTCGCCTCCGCCTCTGCCTTTGCCTTCGCCCGCCATCGCCTCCGCCTCTGTCTCTTTCTTCTTCTCTTTTTCTTTCTTTCTTTCTTCTTCTTCTGATTTTTTGATTAAAAAAAATAAAAATAAAAAAAAGCTTAAAACAACGAAACGACGTCGTTTTGAGTTGAGAGAATTTAGGCCATCCGCACGATTCTAATAAAAATAAATAAAAAAAATAAAGCTGTCACTATCCTTAGCTTTCTTCATCCATAAGAAAAATGGGGTACTATTTTTGTGAAAAAGATTAATTAATTTGCATTCATCAGTATTCCCCTTGAACCATTTTTTCCCCCAATTCTTCATCGTTACATAATTCACCTATACATACATATAATTTACATACAATATCATTTCGATTCGATTCAGAGCTTCTCCGATCACCAACAATGGCGGCTCCGCCATCATCATCTTCGGCCGCAAACATCATGCTAGCCGTCTTCGAGAAGAAGACAGTCACCGTTGATCTCTACCGTCCTCTTCGAAACTACATAGTCTTCAATTACTCAGAACGCGAAGCCCAAAACCTCGAAGACGATCTCCAAACCCTAAAACAACTGCGATCCGATCTCGAACGCGCCACCGTCGACTCCCTCACGTCCCGCCGCGACCTCCTCCAAAGCTACTACAAAGCCCTCTGCGCCGTCGAGTCCCGGTTCCCGATCTCCAGCGACAAGGACCACGTCAACGCCGTGACTTTCACTTGGCACGACGCTTTCAAGAACAAGCTCAAGGCTTCGCAGCAGAACATTCATCTCGAGAAGGCCTCTGTGTTGTTCAATTTGGGGGCTGTGTATAGTCAGATTGGGCTTAGCTTCGATCGAGCTGAGATTGAAGGAAGGAAGCAAGCTTCGCATGCGTTTATGGCTTCAGCTGGGGCGTTTGCGTTTTTGAGGGATAATGAGTCGATGAAGGCGTCGATTGGGAGTTCGGTAACTGTGGATGTGTCGGTGGAGTGTGCGGGGATGTTGGAGAGGCTTACGCTGGCGCAAGCTCAGGAGAGCGTTTTTGAGAATACTATTGCTAAAGGGAGTACTCATGGAGTTTGTGCTAAAATCTCAAGACAGGTTAGTGTTTGTTTGTAGCTCATGAATTGCCATTATTTGTGTTATTTATTTGTTTTTTGGTTAAAATGTTGTTCATTACTTGTGTTATTGCAAATGTGTTTTGGTTGCTCTGCGAAATTTGATTGTATAATTTTGTGGGTTTTTGAGCTTTCTTCATTGAAAAGATTTTAAATTTAAAGAAATTTCAATCAATATGTCATGTCATGGGCTTAATTGCGAATGTTATGGAATTTATTTAAATTGTATCATGTATGTTCACCAAAGTTACGAATAGTAGTTGTGTGCTGAGCTAATTCATGCCAATTGCCTTTGGTTTTATGGCAAGGGTTGTATGCTGGATTGGTGGTAAATTTTTTTGATTTGGTACAAAAATGACAAATATGACTGGGTTTTAGGGTACAATTTCTTTAATCCATTGTTAGAGCAAAGCAAAAAGTTTGGGTACATTATTACTTTCATGGTTTAATAGGCCTTATCGTTCATTGGGATAGTTGGAAAAATTAGTTGAACTGCAATATATATTTTATGATCTATACTGTTCAAATTACTGTATCCAATAATCTCTGGAAATTCCATCTAGTATGTGTTGTGGGTTTTGTTTCCATGGGGATTATGAACACATACATGCATATTTTGTTTGCTAGGCAGTTAATTATGGTTGTATTGTAATGCTTTGAAATGGATGTGATTACAGGTTGGAATCTACTATGAGGAAGCTTTGGCTGCACTAAATGTTGCGCCTCTCAAGGAGCATTTCGACAAGACCTGGTTATCTCATATTCAGCTGAAGGCAGCCTTGTTTTATGCTGAGGCTTGCTATAGGTATAGTTTAGAGCTGCATGAGAAAGATGAGATTGCTGAAGAAATTACTCGGTTGAGGAGTGGGATTAATGCTTTAACCGAGGCAAAGAAATCATCCTCAAAGGGTGCTGCACAGCAGCTTCTGGATGCAATTAATAAATTGGAAGGGAATCTAAATCGTAACCTGGAGAGAGCTGTGAAGGAGAATGATAGAGTTTACCTCATGAGAGTTCCTCCTGCCAGTTCTTTACCTCCTCTTCCTGCATTTTCTTTGGTTAAGTCTATGCCGATGACTGAACTACTGGACGCAAGCAAGGAGAAATGGTTTGCAAGTCTTGTCCCTGACAGCAGTGCAAAAGCTCTTTCAAGATACACTGAAATGGTTGATGAAATTATCAGAACACAAGCTGAGAAACTGCAACAAGGGAGTGAGCTAGCCCGAGTGAGGCTCAAGGAAATGGACTTGCCTGATTCAATTCTTGCTCTGGAAGGGAATTGCACCCTGCCAACTACTCTTAAAGACGATGTTGAGGCAGTTCAAATCAGTGGAGGCCCAACTGGTATGGAAGCTGAGCTACAACAGCTTAGAGATTTGAGGAGGGTAAACCAGGAGTTGCTGGTCCAAACTGAGGAGCTCTTGCAGAAAGAAGCTACAGAAGATGCTCAGTTTAGAACCCAATTTGGAACACGGTGGACTAGGCCTCAGTCCAATACTCTTACAAAGAACTTGCAAGATAGGTTAAATAGATTTGCAGGAAATGTGAAGCAAGCTGCAGAAAGTGATGCCCGGATTGAGCGTTCAGTGAGAGATAATTCAGCACTAATGTCAATCCTTGACCGACATCCGGTATGCTCTCTTCAACTCTTTGTGTGAAATCTTTCTACTGTATAGATTAGAAATTTTAGGACCAGGCTAGCTTATCATGGTCTGAGTCTCATAATGCTTGTGTTTGTGTGAGTAGTACATGAATTTATGTATTGAGATTTGATCTTCGTTAAAGACTGTGTCCTATCTCAGGTAATATAGCTATTCCAGAAATGTATATTTTTTAAAATTTAATTTTCATGGTCTGTGTCTCATAATGCCTCTTGAAATTTAATTTTTGTGAACGTAAACTTATGCACTGAGATTTGGTCTTCGTTAAATAATCCTCGTTTGGGAAGCGACCGGTTTAGTCAAAAAGTCAAAAAGTTACTAAAAAATCAAAAAGCCAACAACGCATACAAAAAAGTCAAAGATTCCCTTTTCTCTCTACTTTTTGCACATCTTTTCGTAAAAAGCCAAAAAGTCATCCTAAACATACCAATTTTTTTTACATCACATTTTAGCCAAAAAGCCAAAAAATTACTAAAAAGGCCTGTTCCCAAATGAGGCATGTTCCAGAAGCTTTTTTTGTTATTGAATTTTATTTTTTGGACTTTCACGTATATTATTGTAGTTGGGAGTAGTTTAGTTGTGGTTATAAGAGTATCAAAACAATATAGATTATTTTTTAGTCTGCTCGCATTTTGCTTTTGGGGGAATTCATGGCCATGCCTTCTTAATTTTTTCTTTTTCATCTCTTGGATACTATATTCTCTTGTAGCAGAAGGAAATTGTGGTTGTTCAGCTCAGCTTTTGTCTATATGGGATGCTTTATCTTTCCTTTTTCCTGAATACTAATTTATTGAGTAGTGTAGCTTCTAATTTTGTTTTTTTTTCTTCTTTTCCCATGGGAGGAGTAAATGCATGATGCTTATACATGCACTTTGCTTTACAGATCGAATCTGCCCTTCCTACACTTGCTAAGCCTATAATGTCTTTGGATGCCAATGAAGATGCCATATTGGGGGCCCTGAAGCTGAGCTTGGTAATTTCGTCTTTTCAGCCTATTAACTTCATGGATGTTTTTGAATTTGTAGTATGGGCATAATAGTGAGTTTTTTGCTGCACATCATGAAAGCTATATTAGATTAGTCTTTTAGTCATGAATTTTATAATTTTTAATGCATATTATTTTTGGTGTTCTCACTATTCAAACTAATTATAGTTGTTAAAGTAATGTCAATTTTGCTGTGGATGCTTTACTCATTTTAAAGGCTACTGAGTTATTTTTCAGTACTTCTATGATATTTCATACTCCTCTTGCTCAGTAGATGTCTGTAGTCATTCACTTTTGTCATCGTTAATGATGGATTTATTTTATCTCCTCTTATGTCTACATGTTTGGTTATCATTCTTCTCCATTATATTGAAATGATCTATTTTGTTTCTACATTGTTGTGCTTCTTCATCTGATGGGTTCTTTGTACCCTAAATCTGTGTTTGTTTAAGCGATTGGGAAGAGGGGATTAGAGGGTTGGCTCTAATCCCTCTTATTTGTTTTTATTTATTTTTTGTTACTTATACCATGTCATAGGATTATCGCCCTTACATCAATCGGTCTAAAATAATCCCTCCCCTCAACCAAACATAATACAATTAATCCTATGATATACACAATACAATCCATTAACTAAACATCTAATCCCAATCATGGTGCCTGTGCTTCATAGGTAACACGCATATTTAAGTAGATTTGTCAAGATAAAGCTTGTTGCATCTGATCAAATTTGGTTATACCCAGACTTCTAAGTACTTAGCTATCCACTTTCTTGATGAATTTGATGAGATTAAATATTTGACAAAAAATAAATTTGTAATATTAAAAAAATGACATAATAAATATATATAAGTATATGTTTTGCATGTGTCCTTAGTGTGTCGTGTCTTGCATGTTTTGAAAATTTGCATGTCCAACATACCTTTCCATTGCATGGGTCACTACTATTGTCTATTACGCATACGCACATGGAGCTACCAAATGTTTAATGAATCTTACATGAGAGAGATTTCATGATTTCTTCAATGAGAAGCAGATTTTCTTTTATTGTAAAATTTAACACAAACATTATGGCCATGTTTGGTTTGTATTTGTGAAATAATTTTGAAATTTTTTTTTCTAGAAAGAGTACAAAATTTGATAATTTGTTTGGTTGTATGTTTTGAAAATAGTTTTGAAGTTTTGGAATTTGGGATGATTTAATATTTTTTTGTAGTTGAATAAATGTGTGTGAGAAAAAAAGTGATTGGTTGATGGGTAATAAAGAGGAAAGTGATTTTGAATTTTTTTTTTCAAAAATTTTCAACCAAACAAATTTTAGAAATTTTTTCTCAAAAATTGTTTCTCAAAAGAAAGACCAAACTAACCCGAAGGGTTGAATGAGTTGGTAAGGCAACGGCCTACGTGACCAAAGGTCTTGAGTTCGAAACCTATTCCAACCTCCTTATAGCCCTTGACTGAAATTGGGGGCTGAGGGGTGGGTTCCTTGCTATCCTCCCCAGGTTGGCTTGTTGGGTCGGTCATAAATGGACCCGGCCTTGGGGTTTCCCGGTCAACAAAAAGAAAAAAAAGACAAACCAAACAAGGCCTATGTCTTGGACATACGTATCTTTGTGCATATATTCTTAGAGATTTTAATGTTCAATAATTTCAACAAGGTTAAATAAACTTGTTAATTAATTTTAGAAAGTTGATCTCTCTCTTTGTTTTCCATCATCATCGACTCATCGCCATCGCCATTGGGGAAGATTGTTCTTATTCACTCTACTGAATTTTTTTATCTTTCCATACTAGTGACTGATTTTTATGTGCAAATAGTCTCCTCAATCTTGCTTTCTTGTCTTTGTAGAGGCAATTGGAGACTCTTGGTGCTCAACGTGCAGGGCTTGAAGACATGCTCAAAGAGATGAAGAGGAAGGTGGGTTTACCTTATTTATGATATCTTTGTTTTGTTGCTAATATCAAATGCTAGCATCATTTTTCATTTATTCGATAGCCTTCTTTTTCCTGGTTCTGAATTGCGGTGGACATTGCTCTGGGAACTTGGGGCTGCATGCTACTCTTTCAGAAAAATGCTGTGTCCTGCATATGTTAGTTTTGAAAATGTTGTAGACTGTTCCCATGTTAGCTTTGGGATGCACAATTGCTTGATAAAAGTACTTATGTTCTGTTTTTCTCCATGCAAAAATGTAAAGTGGGAGCCTTGTGTCTGGATACAACTTTTAATGTAAAATAGAATTACCTTTATGATTTTAGGATGTAGAAAGAAGATTTGCAATATGATTTATCGATATTTGGCAAGCATCCATTTTTGTGTGCCTCGTGGGAAAGTTATCTGTCACATAAGCTTTTATAGTACAGTTAAGTAGTTTGCCCCCCTGGCAGGCTCTTTTCTTTTCTCTTTTCCTGGTTGCATTAATAAATAAACATTGTTCTCAGACTAGACCCTGCTTGTACATCTTTCTTGAAACAGCTGCTATCCATTTTACTAACCAGCTTCTGCTGAATTTGGATATTCTGTAGACTGTTCTCATGTCCTGTGGCAAAATCCATTTTGTCATGTGCCTCTAGTAATTGTCCAATGTGGGAAAGTTGATACTCTTTTCCGTTATTTTTGTTTTGTGCTTGGATGTTTTAATGTGAGGTGTTATTATCACTGGCAGACACCTCCCACACCCTAGGGTGGCCCCTGGGTTGGTAGTTCAAGTTTTCTCCCAAGCTTGAACACTTAATGCCTATGCCTAATAAGGGCAAGAGAAAGTGTGAATGTCATTTGGTTGTGTGCTTTTAAAGGAGATGTCTCCTTGTGTTATTGTGTAAGATTTTCTTTTATGACTAAACTGTTGAGGTTTATGCTGCATATGGTTTTGCATCGCCTACTTTCTGCTTTGTTTTTGTCAATAAAATTCTCATTCTTATTTAGTTGATTTTTACCCTTCTTTTTTTGGCAGTAATTGTGAGTGTTGTTTTTTGGCTTTAGTAGGTCCTTGGTTGTTTAATCGTATGTTGGTTTCTTCAGGATGATATATTACCCAAGTTGATGGCATCTACTGGCTCATATGAGGATCTTTTTAGGAAGGAGATAGCAAAGTATGATCACATATGTGAAGAAATTGCACAGAATATTGAGGCTCAGGAACAACTGTTGCTACAAATTCAGGTTTGTTTTACTTTGCGTGATTTTTTAAACTTTAATTCCCTTTATCTTGCTCATTTATAAGAGCTACATATGCTTTGAGAGCTCTTATGTCATGGTTTTGCAAAAAGCAGTTCTTGTCGGGTCAATGGATGTAGGTATATACTGGAGAACATTTTTTGGTTGACTTGTGTCTTTTGCTTCTTTGATTTCGCGTGCTTCTTGTTTGAACTTGGGGTAATGAAGTGAGGGTATGGGAAGCAGAAAATTAGGTTTTTGATGGTCTGTAGTTTGATGATGCCCAAGGATACTCTTAAAAATGTCGACACGTAGTTTAGTGGAATAAAAGTGAACTTTTCAATGTTTATTGTGCTGGTGGGTTACCTGGAAAGGTATCGTGAGCATGAATGTTTGGAGATAGGACCTTAAACCATAAAAGATTATTTGTATTTATGAGATAGCATCTATGGCAACAGGTTTTAGAAACTTGATACTTTGGGTTAATAGTTCTCTCAAAACAGATTTTAATATTATAGTTCCGCTCAATATAAGCAATATACCTGCAGTCCAATTAGCGGAAGTGAAGCCACTAGATTGTTGCATTTTTGTTGTTTAAAGGCTCCATTGTTTGATAAAAACAAGTTTTATAGTTACTTTTTGGTCCTGTTATACTTAGAAAAGTGACTTGTTGTTTAAGAGCTTATGTGTAACTCAAAGCATCTATTGTTGTTTACAGGCTCAAAATGATGAATTTGCAGCTGTCTTTAACCTTGAGGACTATAAAGGTAGGTCTTTCATTATTGTAAGATCAGTGCTGTCTTTGATTTACTGTGTTGCAAGCTATGAAGCACGGACACGTCCCTGAGGCTTGCGTATTAGTGTCGGACACGTGTCGGACACGGACACGCGTACGACACGCTGTTGACACATGTCCGACACTCTCCCCTGCGTGTCCCCCTTTTTTCAGAATTTTTCAGAGTCGGACACGAGGTTGGACACGCGAGGACACGATTCAGACACGCAGGTGGGTGGATCGAAAAAGCCCTAGAACTGTTGGAGAGGAGAAAGAGAGAGAGCCAGAGACAGAGGCAGATCGAGGGAAGAGAGAGAGAGGGTGATAAGTCGAGGGAAGAGAGAGACAGATTGAGGACAGAGAGAAGAAACCCTAATCTGTTCGTCTTCCTCGCCTCCCTCTCTGCGCCTCGATCGACCATCGATCGCCCTCGCTTGACCATCGATTGACCATTGACCTCGTCTCCCTCTCTGCGCATTGTTTGACCCTCTCTGCTCTCTCTCTCTCGCTAAAATTTTCGACGCAACCATCGATAGCTATATACGTTATATACTAACAATATATATACATATATATATATATATATATTTATATACTAATAATAAATTATATACTAATAATAAATAATATAAATAAATAAATAATATAACCCCTAACCTTTCTTTTGAGGAACCCTGGCTCGAGCGAAGGAACAAAAACAAAGAGCTCGCTCGAGCAACAAAAGCCTCGCTTGAGTGAAGAACCGAAATCTTGGGCAGCAACCATTGGTTTAAACTCTCTACCAACTTGTAACAACCTGCCCAATACATCCTAAAACTCATATACAAAGAATTGAAGGACGGAAACAAGACATATACGATAACCAACAACACGGAACCTAAGTCTGGAATACTATACATAAAGGGAAAAACTCGGGATTGTTACAACCTCCCCTCCTTAAAGAATTTCGTCCCCAAAATTAGGTACAAGTTTTTTTTTTTTTTTTTTTTTTGATAAGTAGTTCTATAAACATCACCTCATTTGTGGATTGCTTTTGTGTTTATCACTGAGTTTTTTTTTTTTTAATTGGTGCTTAGTGTTTTTGATGTAATCTTCCATGTATTGTGGGCTCTTTCTTATGGGGACCTGTAGTTGCACGCTATGGATTTTTAAAATATTTTTTCTCGAAAATGGGATTTTGCAATCTAAACCGGAGATGGTGTTCTTTTTGGTAATTGCACTGGCACTCAGACTTGAACTCATCTGGCTGCTGTCTAGTGTTGATTTGGGAACCTAATGGGATTGACATGGGAATTGAAAACATCATTCTCAATATATCATCTTTTTGTTTTCTTTAGTAGCTACAGAATAAGCTTTTGAGAGTTGAGGTGTCAAATGGTGGAATGTGTACCACATCGCGTGGAGTTGCTCCATCTGTGTTGGTTATAAAGCTTCAATTTCCCTCTTCTTGATACCAAGGTTTTAAGGAGAAGTGTGGGCTAGGCTTTTCAATTTGGTATGCCGTTTGTCCGGTTACTGTATGTTGTGGTTCAGAGGGGTGTGTTGGAATGTGTCTCACATCGCTTGAAGTTGTCCCATCTGTGCTGGTTATGAGGCTTCAACTTCCTTCTTCTTGATATCCGGGTTTCAAGTAGAAGTATGGGTTGGACTTTTCAATTTCAATCTAATCAACGCGTTTGGTGCGTTCTGATGTAGTCAAGCTAACTAAGTTCTGCTAGTGCCTCCATTGCACAAGTCTAGTATGGCCCACCAATTCATTTAGCTTATACTCATTGTTTCTTAGTAATCTTTTGCTACTCCCCAGGCTCTTGGTTAGATCTTTTATTGTGCATTTAATCTACAAATAATCCCATTAGCGGATATATTACAAGAATATTCACTATGCCTTCATGTACACCTCTATGTCCATATTGTGTTTAGTTGATATCCCAAATGAGATTTGGAAGTTTAAAGTCAGTTATTACAGTTGTTTTCTACAATTTGTTTTTCAATTTTCTTCCCCCATCATTTGTTCCTATTAATACCATTGCTACTGTAGCCTGAGAAGTTTGGAATTTAAAATTTATAAAATTACTGCTAAACTAACACTTTCTTCTTATTCTTTTGATGCTTCTAGCCTCCATTTCCCACTTTATACAATGCATGCTTCTCTTTTGACATTGATTTTGTCCCTTTTTCCTTCCCAATTTTGCAGTATCTCGTGAGAAGAGCTATAAGCAGATTGAAGCTGCCATAGCAAAGTATCAAGAAATTAAAGAAAACATCAATGAGGGACTGAAATTTTACGTTACTCTTCAGGTATGAATCTCCTATTTCCAATCATGGCGCCATATTTGCAACTTAAGAATCACTCATCACAACTTCATCTGTAAGCTTGCCTTCAAATTATATTTTCGTCTTCTTCGTTAAACAGGAAGCTATTACAAACATAAAGCAGCAGTGCAGTGATTTCGTGATGACCCGAAACATTCAGTGCCGAGAAATGACTGAAGACGTACAGAGACAAATGGCTGGTTTCAGTTTTCAGGATAAGAACACAGGTGCTTCCAACTACCAAAGAGTGGGACCGCCTCATCAAACTCAAAGAGCCTCTTCGCAGCAACAAATAGATCCCGGAAACACGCCCCATCCTCGTCCTCAGACAAATTACTACCAGCAACGTCCTGAGCAGCCAACAATGCCCGGTTATGCCCACCCCTCACCTCCTTATGGCACTCCACAGCAGTCGCCACAGCCGCCTTACCATATGGCGGCGGCTGGTGGCTCTCCATACCCACCACAGCAACAACCACAGCCAGCTGGGACCCACGAGTATGGCCAACCTGCATATCCGGGGTGGCGTGGTCCATACTACAACGCTCAAGGTCAGCAAGCAGGTACTCACCCTCGGCCTCCTTACACCGTTCCGTCTCCATATCCTCCTCCCCAGAGTGGTTATTACAAGCAATAGTTGGCATACTTCATATCCCCCTCCCTCTTCTTCTCGATTTGCTATGTACAAATTATAATTATTTGATGTGTATGTGCGTTACTTGGGTCGTCGCCAATCATACTCATGTATAGAGTGTTTTGTTTTGCTATACAGTTAGGAGTTGTATAATAATTTTGATTTCATCTGTGGATCACATTTTGCATGTATGCATTCTGGATATTGATTTTGCAGCTTGACATTATGCTATTATGCTCTCATGTTTCCTTTGAAATATATATTTTCATGGCATTTTGGAAATTATAATTATTCTGTGCATGCCAAGTGTAAGTTCATACTTTTTGTGTTGGATTTGGGATCTATTGTGTTTGCATCTCGGGCTGACTGTGATCCTTGGATTTGTGGAGGGAAAATAAAAGTGTAAATTACAAATACACTCCTTAATGTTTGATTAAAATACGAATCGCCTCTTGTGATTTTGGAAATTATATTTCACTCTCCGAAATTTTTAATTTCATAATAAATCTTCTCTTTTATTAATAAATTAGTAAGTCAATTAACAGTTTTTAATGATGTTAGAAATATATTTTAATTAATAATTTATGTAATTTTATTATTATATAAAAGAACAATTATAAATTTTATTTTTTTAGTTAATTTTGTTAAATAAAAAATTACAATAAGAGGGTATTTGTAAATTTTTAAATTATAAGGGGTAATTTGTATTTTGAAAAAAAATTGGGGATATATTTATAATGTATCCAAAATAAAATAAAAGAAAAAGAGAGATGTCGTAGCAAGTCATTTGTGTTATTTTCTACTTCCTTTAGTTTTAATTTTGCAAGTCCATGATTACCAACGAAGATGTGTACTTCTCTACTCTTTTACTGGAGAAGTTATTTGGTGGTTTGGGGACATGGTTATGTAATGTCCTAGAGTGTTTTGATTTGTGGAAAAGGTGTGGTTCACAATTTTATATTGGGTGATTGAAGGACGTCAAAGGACATTATATATGATGATTAGTGAGAAATATGTACTGTCCCAAGAGTGTTTTGATTTGTGAAAAATGTATGATTCACAATTTTATATTAAGTGATTGAAAAATATCAAGAGACATGATATATGATGATTGATAAGAAACACGAATACGTGACGGTCAAGAACATTAAATATTTTTTCCTTCTATAACAAATTTTGAATAATGGATGGTGGATGGATGTAATTTAAATTTTGGGCAATGTCATCTACTTCTAAAATTTTCTTGTTTAGTTGATTTGAAAAAAATAATAAAAATGCATTGTACTTGCAATCATTTATTCACTATACATGTCATCATAATGAATAATTTCGGATGTATAAAAACTTAACAACTACAAATACAAACTAATTTATTTTCGGTGAAGTCTTAAGAGCATTTTCAATGGCTTGTTATATAATTTGTTATTGTTATATTTTACTTTGAAGTTTTTAAATTTTTACTCTAATGGCAGGACATATGACTTGTTATATTATAAAGGGCAAATTACATATACACCCCTTCAGGTTTGACAAAATTACAGATACCCCTGAGGTTTGAGAAATTACGAATTCCCCCCTGAATGCTATATTTGCATAAGAAATTAAGGGGTAATTTGTTATGAAATATAAACCTCAGGGGGTAAATTGTTATGAAAATACAAACCTCAGGGGGCGGGATGTAATTTCCGAAACCTCAGGGGGATATCTGTAATTTAACCAAACCTGGAGGGGTGTATATGTAATTTGCCCATATTATAATATTTATAGGTAAATACTGTGTCAAATATAACACAAGTTTTATCAAATTTTCATCTTTTTTTTTTTTTTTTAGAGATCTACATATAGCATATTAATTTGACATTTTGGGTGAAAAGTTAAAATTTTTTACATTGTATCACTGGAGTAAAACTGCTAAAATTAAGGCGGTATTTGAGATGATCTAAATAAGTATATTTTTTGTCTTTTCAAGAAAATATGTGCGGAAAAATAGAGAAGTGATGTGATCTAAATAAATACACTTATCTAAATAAGCGTACTTATATAGGTTATGCCAAATATTCTCTAAATATTTTAACACTTCATTCCTAAATTATAGTAATAACTAGCTCTTTACCTATCCAACCATTAGAGATGCTTTAAGTGGGACTTATTGGTGTTTGGGATGGGGCAAAAATAGCCCATCTCAAGCTAAATAACTAATAAAATAAAATATTCTATCACATTATTCTCTTTATTTTTTTTCACGTTTTTTTATAAAAAAATTAAATAATTAATTAAAATTATTTGAGAATAATAAAATACTTAATTAATTTATTATGTATGATACTTAAAATCTATTTCTCTATCTTTATTTATCTTATTTAAACTATTTTTATCAAATTAAATCTTAAAATTAATTTCTCACCTTCATTAATGGTTGAATTTTTATTTTATTTTTTGTTTATAAAAGTTCAAAAACTTATTATGGAAAAAAATGGTCATGAAGTTATATTTATTGTAAAAAAATAGCTTAAATGAGAAAAATAAAGATGGAAAAATATATTTTAAGTATCATACAACAAATTAATTGAATATTTTAGTATTCTAAAATAATTTCTCCATTCAAGTAAAAATTTTATTATTTTCAAATGATTTCTTAACCTTTCATTCCCTATTAACTAATTTTAATTTATTGTGATGTGATTAGATTTTTTTTTACTTATATATTTATTTTTTAATTTTTTTAATCATGTAACCTGCATTTTTTTAAAAAATATGCATCGTTTATAAATTTAATGACTCAAAGATAAAAATTAAAATTTGTTAATAATATCTTAACAATTTTGAGATAAATAATTTTCTTACATATGAATAAATAAATAGGACAAATTGCTAGGGAAAAAAATTAATCCATTTGTTTCAACTTAAAAAAAGAAAAAGAAAAAAGAAATTTAAATAATAAATACATTAATTAAAATTGATAAATATTTAGTTGCGTATATAGTATGAAATAAGTCTTATAAGTATTGTATTAAGGGTGAAGCACCAATAAATTCCAATTAATGATCTTATGAGCGGTTTGATCTTTTTTTTAAAAAAAAAAATTTATGGACCCAAAGTTCTCATTTTAGTGTGTATTACATAAAGGCCAAACATAAACGTGTGTGTTATGTGTTGAGGGATAAATGTTGATTTTCTCATAATATTGAAAATAAACGTAATAGTTAATGTAACATTCCATTCAATGTAACACAAAAAAAATTTAATGTACTTTTTTCAAACATAACATTAAAAAACATAATACTCTATTGTAACATAATAAAAAACTCATTAATATACTTTTCTCAAATGTAACAATATAAGAGCATCTTCAACCTTGAACCAAAATTTTCATCAAATATGAGTAAAAAAATGACTTTTTCCTCAATTTGATACCGAGTGCTCCAACGGTTAATTTTCATCAAATTTTCATCAAATCTGTGCCGGGATAACCGGTTAGTCGACTGGTTAAGCCAAATTTTTTTTTTTGAACTGTTTGAACCTTTTAGTGGTCGACCGGTTGGTCGATCGGTCCGTCAATCCACTGGTCGACCGGTAAGGCAAACATTTTTTTTTTTTTTTCAACTGTTTGAACTTTTTTTGGAACTGTTTGAACCTTTTGGTGGTCGAGCGGTTGGTCTCCCCCAACGGTCATGCACAGTGTTTTGGTAAAACGCGAAGCCTGTCCTCCTTTTGGTGAAACGTTTGGTAAATTCTCGATTTGATATCAATTTGGTAAAACCGTTGGAGCTCCAAATAGTGTTTTTTTCACCAAATTTCAAATTTGATGCTAGGTTTGGTGAAGGGTTGGAGATGATCTAACATTTCAAAAAAAGTTATTACTATATTTTTCCTAAACATAACATTTCAATCAATATAACACACAAAAACTCTTAGCCTTTGTTTGGGAAGTGGGTTGGTTTTTTTATTTTTTTGACTATTTTAGCCTAGGGCTAAAAAGCCTGGTTTGGGAAGAATTTTTTGACTTTTTGGTGAGGTGTCTTCATGGGCCATTCACATGTGTTTTACATGTCAACTCATTTCTTTTGGTCATCCACGTCAAAAATAAATTTGACCGAAATTGTTTTGTTTTGTTTTTTTGTTATTTTTTTTCTTTTGGGTTTGGATTTGACGTATTTTGATGTTTTTTTTTTTAATTTTTTTTTGTCATTTTTCTTTTTTTATACATTAATTAGTTCTTATTCTTTAATTTATATTTTTTTCTTTTTTATTTTTATTGGTATACAATAACTTTTTTTTTATTTTTCAAAAATGAGTTTTCATGTGTTTTATTTGTTTCTAAATTACGTCGCGAATGGTAATTTATGTTTTTATGCTTTTTTTAAAAATATTTTTGAATGAGGCGTATTTTTCTCGTTATTTTTTTTAATTTACGTTTTTGTCATTTTTTAATTTGTACACATTAATTTGTTTTTATATTTCAAAAATGGATTTTCACGTGTTTTATTTATTTGTAAATTACGTGGCAAATGATAATTTCTGTTTTTTTTTTTTTTTTGGATGAGGCGTATTTTTGTCATTCTTTTTTTTTTGAATTTATGTTTTTGTAATTTTTTTGAATTTGTATACATTAATTTGTTTTTAGTTTTCAGAAATGGTTTTTCATGTGTTTTCCTTATTTTTAAATTATGTGACAACTGGTAATTCATGTTTTTTACTTTTATATTTTTTTATTTTTTGCTTTGTTTTTAATTTGTTTGGTTTTTTTGGGAAAACGTTTTTTTATGTCATTTATTTAAAATGATGTGAAAAATCATATATTGCTGTGGCACATGACAAAAAATGAGGTCTGTTTTGGTTTTTTGTTGTTTTGAACTGGTGTTTTTATGTTTTTAATTGACGTCGCACATGATAATTTCTGTATTAGTTTTTTTTTTTTTTCTTATTTGTTTCACCTTGTTTTCTTTTTCGAAAATGCTTTTTTCTGTGGTTTTTGGTTTTTCAAAGTTAGGCACGTCACCAACAGAAAGGGGATATATTCCCGTGTAAACACATTCTACTTGTACATGATAATATATTTGAATACAGTCTATTTCACGTGTGTTACCAATGTTACAACCCTACGAAAATTAGGTCGACTATTATATATTTCCTAACGTTCCGTTATTACGCCTGTAACATAATTTGTCGCGTATGTGAAGGCGCATCAATGCCATATGCGGGTCCTCATCCCCAACCATTAAACCATCCTCGTCATGTTCAACTTCTGGTATGGCATTTACTATTGTCATAGCCTCTTCCTCGTCACAGATTGGGTGAACAGTTGTTGGATTACCTATGTTTCGCCGTATATAATTATGTAATACCATTGACGCACCTACTAACAGAACTTGTACATTTGCAAAGTCATACCGAGGCATGCCTCGAATAAACCCCCATCGATTTTTCCAGGCACCGAAAGTGCGTTCCACCACACTGTGCAACGATGAGTGAACTTTGTTAAATAATTCCCTTGGCGTGTTTGTCGTCGTGTTCCGTGGAATATGTCGAAATTCTTGTTGGTGGTAACGGCTGCCTCTGAATGGTGCTAAGTAACCTATCCGGTTTGGATAGCCAGAATTGACAAGATAATATTTGCCTGCAGACAGGACAACAATGTATGACACCAAAAACAAACATTGTGCTTCATTTTCAAGTAACACTGTCTGACAAAATATTATAGCCCCATCAATGCAGAATTCATGGCACTGTGTTACCTTCGTCAGGATGTGGAAATGGGACATTATCATTTGTTAGTATCTCGTTGAAGATGCGACTATCATGCATACTTCCTTCCCATCCGCACGAAATGAAGATGAAACATATGTCAAAATCACATGCGGCCATGATATTTTGCGTGTGACAGTATTTCTTACCGAAATATGTTGTCGTATCTGGCCCCGTAACCCATGCACTTACATGTGTTCCGTCTATTGCTCCAATACAGTCCTGCAAACAACCCAATTGTAATGTTGCTTAAACGGGTAACAAGTAATGGTTATTTTCATACGTCACGTCCAGTTAATAATAAAAACAAAATAACTGCACTTCGCACTTATATGTCAATAATGTTTTTTAGTAGTACCTTGAACGGTAGGTATTTTCGTCTAGACCGCACGTATGGATGTATACGATGCTGACTGTATGTGGGCTGGCAATGAACAACAGTGAACTCCTTCATGGAAGTTAATACGTTATGCACGTGCCGAGACACAATCTCCCTCGAATGTTGGAAACATTCTTGGATTTGTCAATTTTGCATCCCTTGCAACACGTGGATAAACATTGCAACGCTTTCTTCAATAGTTAAGCCATGTGGCCGTTGCGGTACTTGTAACCCAAAATCATTTACTAATGTCTCACACAAAGCGGTAAACACTTCCTTCGGCATGCAAACATTTTCCTAAAATCGACCCATATGACCCGCATATAGTTCGCATATCCATGCATGCCCGGTCAATATCAAAGTGCGGCATGGCGTTTTAGCCATGTGTTTTTTGTACCACTCTGTCGCATACTGGCATGTTTGTAGAAATGTCCAATTGTTTTCTTGTTGCAGCTGTACTGCCATTTGATTAAGCATTTCCCTTAATTCGTCATTATTGTTTCAATCAGTTTGCACGTGATTCATTAACTTAAATGTAATAACAATTTGCACGTATGAATGCCACATGGTTTTTAATGTACGTAATGCCGTCACCAATGTCATTACTAACGCATAATGATATGAATTGAACAAATTGTGAACCTGGTCGTTATATTTTACAAGGGGACCATGGTGGTAACAACCACAAAAATGACGTCAAACTAACATAACAGTTTCCCTCGCAAAGTAAAGACATACAAACGCTAGCAAGAAAACTGTCGTTGCGCATTTCATTGCCATACATTTAATTAAAACAGAAGCATCCCATTCCTTTCCCAAAAAACGCACAACCATGCTTCCATTTTTTCTACGACAAACTTAACTAAAAGTTTTGTTCACCATAGCTAGCAAGAAAAAAAAACAACAAGAAAAGAATAAAAACATGCAAACACAACCATCCCATTTTAATACAGTGCCAACAATAACATAAGTAAAAGTTTTCAAAAGCAAGAGAAGGGCAGGCATCTTCAATAATCCTGACACCGCTACATCACATCCAGCGAGCCCCAAACAGGTTCGCAAACGGCGCCGACGCAGTACACTAGAGCTGCTTTTGTGTAAGCCACCCTATGATGTGGTCGTCATCAGGCTGGCACATCATCACCTCCTGGTAATCTGCGTTATCCATAAGTGTCGAGGCGAAATGGAATAGCGGCGTACCAATCAGGGATGGAATACTCGTTAGGCGATACATGCACTCTGAAATAGTGTACAGCGATTCGTTGCCTGTGAGGTGCCTCACCGTAACCTGCTGATTCGTCGTATGCACCACATATGTTAGATTGTTCATGTTTTCCGCAATAACTGACGTTCCACTTGTTGCCTTTTTCGACTTTGAAACACTTGTTGATAGCGTCTTTCTCCTTTTCCCCTTTTCAATCGGAACATGTTCCAGTGAAGAATCTGAATCCACGTCCTGTACTCCTACGGGTATCAGATCAACAAATGGTTGGGCTCCTAAACTATGCTTAGAATCAGATGAGTCATCAGCAGCTTTAGGAAGTTTCTCTCCCGGGGTCCAATGGTGCTTACCAATAGCTGATGCCCCCATGAAGACCGTCTCCATCAAGTCACGATGTTCCAAGGTTTTTTTCCTAAACTTGGCACACACCTTGTTTATCTGCAGAAAGGGAGATATATGAAAGAGAAAGACGTTACATTTCATATAATTAATTAAAAGTTAACTAAAAAGGTTAAAAATGTACTGGTAACAGACAAATATGAAACTTGTTTGTACATGTACTTACCGATTCCATCTTGTCCCACCATTCCTCAGGTGCCTGAAACATACCGGTGTCACAGTCAAACCCTATCCCTGACACTCCTTTGCTTGAATCCATCAACTTTGTCCACGTTTGCCACTCTTTTTTCAAACTCATGTATTTATTCTTCAACTGTTTGAGGCCATGTTTTTTTCCTGTTTTTTTCTCAAATTTCCTTGCCAAGGACTTGTACCCTGCTTGGTTGAGGACTAGGAATGGTCGCTTTCCTTTTCTAATCTCATTTGCAATCAACCGTAGGAAAACTCAGATTGAGTCACTATCCCATGAGGCCTTGTGGCTGAATTGATTATGTATCTCTTCAAGACTGCTTGACTTCTCTGTGACAATGCCTTTGCTTTTGGATTGGGTACGCGAAGAAGTACGTATGGAAGCCATTACTAATGTACGGTTACAAAAGATTACCATCACAAATTCGGTTATTATATACAAACGCATAAGCCATTGCACATTAATAACAACAAACAGAGAGATAAGATGCTAAATTAGATAGCATATAACCATTGCACATTAATAACATACATACACAGGTTCCATGGAACTCAGTAGTGGACATAGTTATGATAGTCATTAATACATCTACCGTTCGTAGTGGAGGAAGGCAAAGGCAGCTTAAAGTCATACTAAAACATACTACCAACATACTAACAACCTCGTAACGTGTTTGTACATACTGACAACATCCTAACGTTGCTTACATACGCAGGTCCGGCCCTGAGATTTTCGGGGCCTAAAGCCAATAATCAACTAATAAATTTTTGGGGCCCTTCATATTTTTTTTTTCATTGAATGAAAAAAAATATGATGATAAAAGACAAAAAATTTGTGTCAAAATCACAAAAAATACTTAGTATTACATCACAACAATTAATAAGTGTCGCTTGATCCTCATTTTTCTTACATTTGTAGAAGCAAATAAATTAATCATACTTGCATAATCTAGTTTTTTTGCAAAATCATTTTCAATGGATAATAATGATAATTATTTTAAATGGGCCTTTCAATGTTTTAATGGGTCAATTTATTTTTAGTTTGGGTCTTCCTTAATTTTTTTTTGGATTTAAAATATACCTAATATATTACAATGGATAACAATGTTAATTTTTTTGAATGGGTCTTTCAATTTTTTAATGGGTCAATTTATTTTAAGTTAGTTTGAGCCTTCTTTAATTTTTTTTAAAACTTAAAACATACCTAATATATTACACTAAACCATAATAGAAGGGGTCCTTTTTTTGGATCTATTTTGAGGGGCCCTAAGCCATGGCCTTGTTGGCCCATGCCCAGGGCCGGCCCTGTACATACGGAACAACAAAATGACAACGACTATGCATAGCACCTACACAATGGTCTTAAGGACACGCAAGGATTGTTGAATGTCTATGACATCAGCCCGCAATTGCATGACAATTTTGTCTCTGGGTGACGCATAGTCTTGGTTCTCTCACCTTGGTTCTTCGCACCAACCAATCCAACTGACACAGGGCTGATGAGTGCAAATGATGGAACTATTAGTCATTGGGTTGTTAATGTTCATGCAGTTATGACCGGTAAATAATGGTCACTCACCACAGGGCGGGGACATGCAAAGTAGGGACACCCTGGATTTTTGGTGGACCTGGAAATCTTAACAATACAGAGGCCATGTCCATAGGCACACATTCGTCGTGGCCATGTACTGGAAGTTGTAGTAGAGGTAAACGAAGCCATGCTATGCTTTACAAACATTCGAAAGTGACAATGAATCATATAAGTAATTAGTTTATGTTATCCATATATCAGGTTAAACATGAACTGAATACGCTAATGCACAAGTTAAACACAACTACTCCGTCAAAGCTTTCATTAAAAACGTTAATTTAAGCACGCATGCAAGTAAAATAAAGTTTGGCTAAAAAAAGTACTATACAAGGAATAAAAATGTGTTCACTTTTCATGCAGTCGTGGCGTGTAGAAGGGAGATGGATGCCAGATGAGATGGTAGGATAAGTGGTGTTGCAGCATCTTGAGGCAGTGACTATGACATTAGGGCTGTGGCAGCAGCGGTTCTTGTAATTTTTTATTAAAGCACTTCATAACCATGTGGTTTACATTAGGATATCAATTTTAAGAACTAAGATTCAATGTGTAAACAGTAACAACAATCATTATCCATGTATATGTGTATATGGGTGTGTGTGTATATATGCATTTGGGCCATAGATTTAGACCTTCTGGGTTAAGATAAGGTTTGTATTCTAGGATCCACATCCACTATGTTATGACAATACTTGACAAAACATGATTGGAGTATAGATTCATCCCGTGTCCATTAAAACAACGAAGTACACATATATTAATATAATTTTTTATTTTTGTACTAACCGAAGAATATTGATAAAGGATGGGACAGTAAGCACATATGGATGAAGCATAGGGGAAAATCCAACGGTTTAGATTTGGTACCATAGTGAAGCATAACATCCGCATAACATATGGAACTCTACAAGGAGAATGAAGCATGAACCAAATTTTAAATATGGTGTTTTGTTATAAATAGGACAGGGATGGTTCATATCAGAACTAAATGGTTTCACCGTGGAGGTGATCTAGAAAAGAAGAACTAGGCCAGGATTAGTCAAAACATGTAAGTAAAAAAAAAAAAAAAATGTTCCGATACAAACATGAAGAGAACACGGACCCAAAAATGTAATGCAATGTGATATACATGTATGTACAACCAAATGGTTCGATCATAATACACTTGTCAGTTGTTGCTGACAGAGTAGTTGTGTTTGAAGAAGTGAAGTTGTGTTTGACGGAGTTGTGGTGTTTAACAAATCAATTAAAAACGTTTATGTTATCCATAATAGTTGTGAATACGCTGATGCACAAAAACAACAGAGGGTTTTATTCAGATTTATGAAAATAACAGCAGAGGGTTTTATTCAGATTTACCAATGCTAGCAATACATAAATTTACATTTCTTTCTTCATTCAGCATTGACGTTACCAATGTTACAAAACATAAATTTGTAGCAGAGTCACAGATTTCATTCACAGACTCACAGATGTGATTCACAAACTCACAGATGTGATTCACAGATTTCATTCACAGGACCCATTCAGATTTGGCCCTGTTTGGTACATCTTAATTTCAGCTTATTTCAGCTTTCATCTTAATTTAAGCTATTTTGATGTGTTTGGTTTAGCTTAACAATACAACTTATAACTTTTTGTAAGTCAGAAATCAACTTATTCTTTGAGTGGGGCAGGAGAAGCTTAATTTATAAGTCAGAAATCAGCTTATGTTTATAATTATAAGCTGTTAAGGTATAAGCTATAAGCACTTTTTCACAGCTCTACCAAACAGGGCCAGACTCACAGATTTGATTCACAGACTCACAGATGTGATTCACAGATTTCATTCATAGGACCTATTCAGATTTCAGATTTCATCTTTCATTCACAGAATCAAATTTCATTCAACATTGACAAATCAATTTGAATAACAGATCTGAAATGTTTCATTTTTAATGAGAAATATAAGAAATGCAAGCTACCAGTGTTCAAGAGAATGAGAATTATAAGAAATCAACTTCAACTTCTGATATGAAATTGTTCACAGAATCAGATTTCATTCACAGATTTAACTTTCCATTTGTTTAACAGATATGATGGAGACATTACAATGTGTTATAAACAAAATGCTAATTCTGTTGTTTATAGAGATACATGGAGACAGGGTGTTTGTAAATTCAGAATGTTTCACATGGAGCCATTGGCAGAGTTATGAACACAGAAAGTTAGTTTTCAGAGAACTTGCAAAAAAAATTGGTATACAAATTCCAGAAATGACAGGGAAAAAATGGGAAAACAAATGAACTGCATGACCTTTTATTTGAGAAAAATCTAATTTCAGCATTCAGATTTCAGGTGAGGCACAACAGTGAGTTTTGTGAAGAAAATAATTTTGATTTTAGATTGGGTGACAAATCAGGATGTAGAAATTGCAAATCTCACAAAAAAATTGGCAGAAAAAAAAAAATAGAAAATGGGTGTTTGACTTTGAAATCATAGGGTTTACGATTTAGACATCGTAATGTGAAGAAAATGTGTTTTCAACCATTAATCGGCCGTGGCGTCTAGTTTCCATGACAGATTCAAAATCGGAGTGAGGTTTTGCATCTATATCCACACAGATATAATGGTGGCTTTCCCATTCTGCAAGCCGAAATGAAAAAAATCTAACCCAAAGTGGAGGAAATTTTTTTAAGCAGCAACAATAATGGGTTCCAAAGATCAACCGAGCAGATCGGGTTGAAGAAAAGGGTATTACGCAAACAAACCCCCCCCAAAAAAAAAGAGAAAGCTTAGTTTACCTTCAAATTCCAGATCTTTGAGAGCCTGAGTTGCAGGGTCGCTGCCGATATGAACTCCGGTGGCGCACCAATATCAATTCGTCGTTCTTCTTCCCTCAAGCGCAGATTGGATCGCCTCGTTTGCTTCAGCTCCAAAATGGATGACCTAACTAGTGCGAAATGTGTTCGAGGGTGTGATAGTGTGAACACCGACCCAGGGGTAATTTGGTAATTTCATCCCTCCTTGTATGTAAGATACAATTCAAACGGAGGCTGAATGTGTTTTTGTCGCGTTGTGGCTAATTTAGCCAATTCTGTCGTGTAGTGGTTAAATTAGCCCACAACTCTCTTGCCAAACGAACCCTTAGTGTATTTTTTTCAAACGCAACACTTTAATATAATATTTCAATGTAATACCAGAAAATCATACTAACAAAAAATATTGATTTTTACGTTCAACAATCAACATTTTAGCCACCAATCTTTCCAAAAAGAATCTTCCACACCTCACCTTTTCGTTTTCATCCCAAAAATGAATCAAAAATTTGAAAAAATAAATTATAAAAGGTCATTCACTTAAACTCAAATGGCACCAAATCAAATGAATACAACTTTTCAAAACAAAAAGAATTAATTAGTTCAAAAGAAAACTGTTAAGACTAAATGAATCAACATTCCTTCGTATGGGATTTATGTGTAAAATTTTCTTGTATTAATTATTAGGATCTTATATTAAACTATTAGGGTTTTAAATTAAAATATACGTGAATCTTTAATAATATATATGTAACATATTAAGAGATGTGAGTGAAATTTTTTATTTAAATAGTTTATTGGTTGATTTAATAATTTTTATATCTTTTCGCTCAATTCAAAGGAGGTAATATGACCATTTTAAATAGAAAAATAAGGACGTTTGTATTAAATTAATGGATTGAGAGAATTTTAATAATAATTTTAAAAGTAAATGTGGTTAATATAATTATTAAAACTATAAAAAAAAATATGAGAAATAAGTGTAACTTGCCCTTTATACTCAAAATTTCTTGTGACGTGCCAATAGAATTTTGCCAAAACCATCGATGACGAAAGAAATACGTAGGCACCTTCCAATCCAGAGCTCTTGCCAAACGCGTAAGTCTCTCCAGTGTGGTCAACAACCAAAATTCACAATTTCACACCAAACCCTTCTCTTTCATTTGCCATGTCAAAGTTTATTCAAGCCGACAACCCTTTAAAAACTGGTTGACGTGTCTTCATTGATTAAACTCGTAAATTGATTTTTAAAAGAATTACAAAATATGTTATTTTAATAATTTTTTATTAAAATATAAAGTGAAAATAACTAATATATTTATATTAAAAGTTGGAGTTGTCAAATGAGATTTAAATTATATTTTCACTCTTTTATATTTGATCATAATTTTATTTTGACTTTTAAAATTTATTTTTTCTTACTTTGACTTCATGTTTTAAGTTTTCTTAGTTCACTTTTGAAATTAATTTTTGTTCAAAATTAAATAGAAAATATCACATTAATTATCACACTATATATAAAATATATTATTATATTAAGAGTTGGGTCTGTGATTGCCAATGTGTTATGTTCTGTCTATTTTTAGACATAAGTTAGTTTTAAAAGTGAATTGAAAAAAAACTTGAAACATAAAAAATCAAAATGAGAAAAACCAACTTTAAATCAAAGTAAAAAAATAACTAAACAAAAGAAGGACAAAGTGTAATTAGCACAAGAAATTTTATATACACAAAATTAAATTATATAAAAATATTAAAAATATAATCTAATTTTGATTGATTAATGGTAGAGTGAACTTATATTTATGTCTATCAATGTCAACATGTCACCATGGTTTCAAGTCAACTCTCATGTATCATTTTTCTTGTGAGGCATTATATACCAGGGCTAATTACATACTCTCTATAGATACATGTAGTGATTTGTTACACTTTAATTTTTTAACAATGTTCTTTTTTTGTGGGGTTAATTACACTTGGCAACTATATATTTTTATCAAAATTTCACTTTAGTAATTTTATTTTCAATTATAACAATTAACTTCTTATATTTTTAGTCAAATTACAATGTCACCCTTCTGTCCATCCACCGTTAACAAACTTGGCAAAATTAGTTATTTTAAAATCTAACTTTAATCCCTCCACTTTTAATTAGGGACTTAGGCCATTTCTAACAGTTCATCAGATTCATCACTAAATTTAAATTTGGTGAAGAGTGACAACTTTTTTTTTTGTTTCCAACAGTTTCATCAAAACGATATCAAATTGAGAAAGGCCCAAAATTTTCACCAAACTGAGAAGCTGGGACAGATTTCACCATTTTACTATGTGTGTACATTGGAAGTGGGCCTTCGGCCGGTTGTCCCCCCAGTCGTCCTCTTCCTTGAGCAATTCCCACAAAAATAGGTCACACAATATTGGTAAAATGGTTTGTGCAACCATGATTTTTGGCTAATTTTGAGCCTAAATTGAGATGGGCTCCGGACATTGAATGAGGTGTGTCTGGGTGGAAATGCATTCTTTGCCGGGTGGTGATTCACTTCGTATATTTGGTTGTTCAAACCATTTTCCGAGTTAATGCGAAATTGACTCCAAAATAGGCTTCGGCAACATGGTAGTTACTCTGTTAGCAAATAGTTCATTCATTTTGCTGATGCTGTTAAGTACTATAACCATCTGATATTCTGGTGGGATGTGTTTTGAAATGGAAATTAACTCAATCTAGCATTTTGTTGCATACCCTGTGTTTTGAAATCAACTCTACCTGCCACCAATGTGAAATTTGTGGAACTTGTGAAGTGTGTTGAAATTATCAATAGCACTTTTCTCATCTCACACACACACACTCTCTCTCTCTTTCCTTCGTTCGTGTCCAACTCGTTCCAAATTTCTCAAAGCTTGATCAGAAATCTCAAAACCCCAAAGTGCTTTCACAAAAATGTTTTCACAAACCCAGACTCTCGCATCTCACCTTCCACCTTCAATCCTTCTCCCCACCAATACCCACTTCTTCAAATCCAATTTCTACCCTTTAAAACCATGCCCATTTCTCAAATCCTCGTTTTAGCCTTTGAAATGCTCGGTTTCAGTGATTTCAGAGCCCACCCATTTGGAATTGAACAACGAACACAAACAATCACAAACCATTCCCAGCTAGGGATGGCAATTTAAACCCGGCCCGACGGGAACCCGACTCCCCGACCCCGATTTGAGCGGGTTTTTCCTGAAAAATATCCCCGTGGGGACGGGGATGGTATTCAAAAATCAATCCCCGATTAGTTTTGGGCCGGGAACGGGGATTAGTGTCTTAGCCCCATACTCGGCCCTGCCCGGCCCTAGCCCGTCTCTGTCCCCTGGTCCCGTTTCCTCGATGTAAAATTACTACTATACCCTTATATATATATAAACCAAACCCTAAAACACACATTACCTCACCCGCGGTGAGTCACACCGCCTCTCATCTCCTCTCTCTCTCTCTCTCTTCGTAAAATCGCAGCTCCTCTCCTCACTGATCTTCTCTCATCATCTTCCTTAGTTCGACTCTCTTCGTAGAATCACAGCTCCTCCCCCCCCCCGCCGATCTCCCTCCTCCTCTTCCTCAATTCGACCACCGATCGAGACCCCCTTCCTCTCCAAACTCTGTCGCAAGAGGCTGGCCAGTGTCTATGGCTGCTCTGTACGGCCGATCGAGACCCCCCCATTCTCATGCTTTTTAGTATGTCTGTTGGGTGTTAATTTTTTAGAACTGGGGCTGATGAGGAAGATGATGATTCGGCTGCCATTCTTGACAACTCGTGCTTGTTCTTGACCTCTGTCTCTCTCTGTGTTAATGTTTTAGATTTTTTATTTTTTATTTTTAACATTTGAGCTCTGATATGTTCGATTTGTTGCATATATATGTTAAATTTGATGTATGGGTGTGTTGTTGTTGATGATGATGAACAAATATTTTCAGATCTGTTGTTGTTGAATATCTATGTTTTTTTTTTTTTTTGACCGGGGAATCTTCGGGGTCGGGGAAACCCGATCCCCGTTAGGGGGCGGGAGCGGGGGTGGTGATAGGCTCCCCGTCGGGGATCAGGGCCGGGGACGGAAAAATTTCTACCATTAGGGATCGGAGACGGGGAGTGTGATCCCCGACCCCGCCTCGCCCCGTTGCCATTCCTATTCCCAGCTGAGGTTTCAGGAACAATCTTAATTTCCAACCTAGTGGCATTACAAAGTGTGTCCCATGAGTGCATAAACATCAGTACAAAGAACATTTTACTCAACAAATAATTCAACTGTTGTTTTTTTATTTGTTGCATTGACTGGTCGACCGGCTAATCGTTTGCCTAGTTGACCGATAATTTGATGAAAAGAAAAATTCCTCCATTAGAACAAGCGATGTCAAATATAGGAATTTGTCTTTTTTTGTACTTAAATTTGATAAAAATTATGATGAACCATTGGAGTTGTCTTTATGTATAGGTCTTAATAGATATATTTAGTGTCCAATAGGTCCTATCATAATTAATGGCATTTTTTATCAAATACTATTAAAAAAATGTTATTAATTGTTAATTTTCAACGACAGTTTGAAATTTTTGTCACAAAAAATGTCACTAATTATAAATTGTAGCTATAGTTTAAAAAAACAGTCATAAAAAACACTAATTTTTAACTTTTAGCGACAGTTTAAAAAATTAATCACAAAAAACATCACCAATTATAAGTTTTAGCGACAATTTATAAAAACCGCGACAAAACAAGTTACTAATGTCAATTTTTAGCGACATATTCAAAAAATCGTCATAACAAATTATTTTTAGCGATAGTTTTATTAGGACTTGATGGCATTAAGTCAACTATTAGAATTTATTGGTATTTACCCTTTAATTTATCTTAATCTTATTAATGGTAGATGGACGAAAAAGTAACATTATAACTTGACTTAAAATATAAAGAGTTAACTATTATAATTGAAAATGAAACGACCAGAATAAAATTTTAGTAAAAATATAGGACACTAGATGTAATTTACCTTTTTAATATGAAAACTGCACCTTCCTAGCATTTCCGTTATCAATGTGTCTATATACATAAATAAATGCTGTATCTTTTAATACACATACATGTATCTATCTATCCACACGCAAAAACGTGAGCCTTTCGTTTCATTCCTTCTATATAAACCAATTTCAGCCCCAAAACCATCCTACTCTACCCCATACCAAACCCTCTCCCTCTCTAAAATATGGGAAACTACGTTTCATGCAGTTTTATCTCTCCTACAATGAAGAACTCCAAATCAGCCAGAGTAATTTTCCCCGGCGGCGAAATCCGGCAGTTCCGCCACCCCGTCAAGGCGGCGGAGCTCATGCTCGAGTGCCCCACCTTCTTCTTAGTCAACTCTCGTTCACTCAACATCGGCCGGAGATTCTCCGCTCTCGCCGCCGACGAAGACCTCGAGTTCGGAAACGTCTACGTCATGTTTCCGATGAAGAGAGTGAACTCTGTCGTCACCGCTGCTGATGTGGCGGTGTTTTTCATGGCGGCCAACTCGGCCGCCAAGCGGATCTCCGGCGGAACCGTCAGAATTTCGCCGGCGTCCGGTGATGTTTCGGAAAGTGTAGCGGCGACGGTGACGGTGGAGTTTCCGGTGCCGGAGTTTCAGCACCGGTTGGCGGTGTGTAAGTCAAGGAGGCCTGTGTTGGATACAATTACAGAAGAGCCTCTTCAGCACCGGTTGGCGGTGTGTAAGTCAAGGAGGCCTGTGTTGGATACAATTACAGAAGAGCCTCTTTTTTCAAGATGAAAATTTGTAGTCATGTTAAGGGTAGAAATGGAAAATCACTTATTTTTATTTTTGTTGATCTTACTTATTAGGGTGCTTCTGTTACACACAATAAATTTTCCGTTACACTTGTATTACAATAGTTGTACATTAGGCAAAAAGTACTGTACAAATGGGTGTAATAAGAAATTTGTTGTGTTAAGAAATTTATGAGGTGTGACTTCAAATATATTATTGTGGACACATGGGGTCTTTTAGCAAGAAAATTTTTGGCTTGGCTTAGGCTAAAATTTATAATAATAATAAAAAAGATTAAAATAGTTAATAAGTTAAAATGTTATATCAAATTCATAATCATTTCATTTTTTTTTTCACAAACATTATATCTAACTACAAAAAAATCTAATCATCTTTCTAAACACAAAAATTTTAGCCTACTAAGTCCTCGTTTGGTAAATATTTTAGGGCTAAAAAAGCATAAAAAGACAAAATAGACTATATAAGCTAATAAGAGAAAATGTCACATTCAAACTATAATCATTACACTTTTTTTCTCACAAAAGTCTAAAAACAAAAACCAAATGAGACTTAGGCCTCGTTTGGGAACCCTCATTTTTAGTCAAAAAGTTACTAAATTAGCCAAAAAGCTAACAACTCATATCAAAAAGTCAAAGATTCTCTTTTCTCTCTACTTTTTGCATATCTTTTCGTAAAAAGTCAAAAAGTCATTCAAAACATACTAGTTTTTTTTAACTCATATTTTAGCCAAATAACTAAAAAGTTACTAAATTAGCTTGTTCCTAAACGAGAAAAGTCCAAACGCAAAAAAGTTGGCTACCTTAGCCAATGCCAAATAAAGGTTAAAATAGCTAAAAACTAAAATAGCCTACTAAAATAATAATTTCCCCACACTTACATATTTGTATTTATAAATATTATGTGTTTATAGAATTTTTGTTAATATATTGGTGACTTTATGGTGTAACTATATATTGTGAATTATAGCTAGAAATTCCGAAGCAAGATTTTTTATTTTTAGTTAGAAAGGTGACAAATAGGTATATAGTTAGACAGGTAGATGAGACACACACATATATATATATATATATATATATATTATTTGTATAAATAAGTGAATTTTGAATAGATAGGTAATATTTGAACAAATAAATATATAGTTAAACTTTGAACAAATGGATTGATAACTAAATTTTGAATAGATAAATATCTTTTAAACTTAAAAATATTTAAATTTGATTTATTAGCCCATTAATTTCAAAAATAAAAAATCTGTCCACTCTGCACTCTTTCTTTTACAACTAGGAACTTGATATCAATATGCTTTGATTTTGTCGAGCTCCTGTTGTTATTGGAATATAAAACTGCAGACTTATTGTCACAATATAACTTAAGTGGTCTTGCAGTGCTTATATTCTTCATTCAGGGCTTCTATTCACTTATGAGAGTTGGAACTTTCCATGGCTTGACGAAAGTTGATTGGATCATCTTTCGACATTCCATTTTTTACCTCATGTTCCTGGAGATATACAATATAATCATCTGAAAATGCAAATCTCCTTTCTCTGGTGGATCGCCTTAATGGCACAGATTCTTGAGGTTGAGGTTGTAGAGTTTGTTCCTCAGGAACAATTACCTCATCTTGAATGGGGGTTTGAACTATATTATCTTGAACAACATTGTCTGGTTCTCGAGCAATGACAGGTTAGGAACCTGTGATTGGTCAAAAGTAGTAGTAGGAAGTGGGATTACTCCTGCTTCTAACTGGATTTCTCCCCCCAAATTCAACATCCTCAAAAAATGTTGCAATTCCCGTCTCAAATATTGACTTATTTAATCTCTAAATAAATTAATTTAATGACAACATCTCAAGATACCTAGCACAACATTAATACCAAGTCTTTGGGTAGTGATATTAACTGTAAGTGGTATTCTTGTTGTAATGATCAAACATTGACAATAAGTTATGTCAAATAACAAATCTATCTTTTGATGGATTTATTATTCACATTAGGTTTTCTTGACAATTGGCACATGTTTATCACCACAAAATTTGTGTGTAATTCTGCCAAGTCTTAATCATGTCTTTGGACCGATAAATACCCGCATGAGATACACAGACATGAACTTCAAAACCTTTCATATAAAACAATCTAGACAAGAGATATCACTTTTGTGACATCTTGTTTGAAGTGACTTATATTGAGAATGTTAGAAAATTAAATTTCTGTAGACGTTGTATGAAATTACATTAAATTTAAATATTTCTAAATTTGTGACCCCGTATATGTTATATAATCTGCAGCAATTCCAATTATATATATACATATATAAATAGAATTGACGGGTCCAAAAACAAATAGTTTTTTTTTTATGATGTTCAAAATTAAACCGATCAAATCGCAAGATATATCTATATATATATAAATACATGATGTTCATCCATTTGAGAGAGAAAAAAAAAAAACTGCCCACCGAATCATTTTACAATTCCAGAAAACAGATTGCTATTTTCACAGAACAAAACAGAGAAAAACAGAATTTACATTCATAAGAAAATTCAGAATCTGATTCCAGGAAACTAAATAGAATGAATAAAGCATATCAATTCTGATAAGACACATGATATGCATGCTCTGATACCAATTGTAAACATAAATTTCAGAACATAAACCTTACACTTTGGATCATTTACCATGTGTATTATCAAGAAATCAAGACGAAATGATATACCTGAATCCATTGATGAACGGTTAAACGGAAGTGTGATTATCAATGAACTCTTTGTTATTGATTATGTTATTGCCTTCTAATCCTTTCCCCTTTGGTGCCTTATGTTTCTCCTTGAGAGGATTTAGGAAAAAAATGGCAGTGTTCTTATTTCCACATGGGAAGGAATAGGGACCATAACCTTTTAAAGGTTGTAATTGGTTTTCAAAACTGAAAGGTTGTGGAAGTTCAAAAGAAATGAAAACCAACTTTAACCAATATGTTTTAATTTCTATTTCTGCCCCTCATAGAAATAGAAATTATACAACTAGTATCTACACATTAGGTCCATAACACATATACCCTTAAGCCTATTAACTAAATTGAATAGACTTCTTATAAATGATAACACCACATTTAATTATGTGGTCCCATTGAGACATTATCTAACAGTCTTTAGCAAGAAAATTTTTGGCTTGGCTTAGGTTAAAATTTATAATAATAATAAAAAAAAGATTAAAATAGTTAATAAGATAAAATGTTATATCAAATTTATAATTTTTTCACAAATGTCATATCTAACTATAAAAAAATCTAATCATCTTTCTAAATACAAAAATTTTAGCCTACTAAATTCTCGTTTGGTAAATATTTTAGGGCTAAAAAAACATAAAAAGACAAAATAGACTATATAAGCTAATAAGACAAAATGTCACATTCAAACTATAATCATTACATTTTTTTTCTCACAAAAGTCAAAAAAAAGTCTAAAAACAAAAACCAAATGAGACTTAGGCCTCGTTTGGGAACCCTCATTTTTAGTCAAAAAGTCAAAAAATTACTAAATTAGCCAAAAAGTCAACAACTCATACCAAAAAGTCAAAGATTCTTTTTTCTCTCTATTTTTTGCACATCTTTTCGTAAAAAATCAAAAAGTTATCCAAAACATAGTAGGCTTGTTTGGTTTGTTTTTTCAGAAAAATTTTTGGGAAAAATTCTCTACAAACAAATTTTCCAGAGTAATCAAACCAAACAAATTTTTTCAAAAAAAATCTCAAAATTTTGTTTGATTACCTACTTTCCAAAATCACTTTCTCTCTCATACACATCAAATCAATCACTTTTTTTAAAATTCTTTTCCCAAAACAATTTTCCAAAACCATTTCTTAAAAAAGGTAAACCAAACAAGTTTTCGTATTTTTTATCTAAAAAACTACTCTACAAACGCAAACCAAAAACTACTCTAAAAAATTAATTTTTTTAACTCATATTTTAGCCAAATAGCTAAAAAGTTATTAAATTAGCCTGTTCCCAAACGAGAAAAGTCTAAACGCAAAAAAGTTGGCTACCTTAGCCAATGCCAAATGAAGGTTAAAATAGCTAAAAACTAAAATAGTCTACTAAAATAATAACTTCCCCACACTTACATATTTGTAACATATTTGTATTTATAAATATTATGTGTTTATAGAATTTTTGTTAATATATTGGTGACTTTATGGTGTAACTATATATTGTGAATTATAGCTAGAAATTTCGAAGCAAGATTTTTTATTTTTAGTTAGAAAGGTGACAAATAGGTATATAGTTAGACAGGTAGATGAGACACACACATATATATATATATATATATATATATTATTTGTATAAATAAGTGAATTTTGAATAGATAGGTAATATTTGAACAAATAAATATATAGTTAAACTTTGAACAAATGGATTGATAACTAAATTTTGAATAGATAAATATCTTTTAAACTTAAAAATATTTAAATTTGATTTATTAGCCCATTAATTTCAAAAATAAACGATTGATCTGAGTGGCCATCTTTATATGACCAAACAAGTTGGCGTGAAATATATATTTACCTCTAGATAGAGGAGATACAATTATATGATTTTATACGGAACTTTGTGAACAAAGGATGCAAAGAATTTATTTACTAGTTATTATGAATATTGACCAAAAGGCTATTGGAAGCTCATTAATTATGACTTATTAGTGCTCATTTTTGACTGACTTACATTTATTTATTAGATTAGTCATTTGTTTGCATGTTGTTTAATCCTTTGAGGTGGCAAAGCTGTCAAAAGTGACATAAAATGTTATTGCGATGCCCTTGGTTGCCTAATTTTTGATAGCGATTGATTTATATATGAATCATAGAATTTCCTTGATTTATATATGTATTATAGAATATTCCTCAATTAGAGGAAAAATTATTGGGTAGGCATGAGACATTATGTGATCGCATTTGTGACCAATCACAAATTTTAATGTCTCATTATGTTTTCTGATTACTTGATATAAAATCATAAATCTCATTTCTTCCACTAAGTAAAACACACCTAATGCACCACATGATTGTACCCAGGACCAATGAATAACTTCTCCTATTGCAATGTTATTTGTGTATTTTATTGAAAAAATTATTAGATGGCCTATCAGTATTACTTGGCAATGTCTTTATCAATTATTAAATGTCATATCTCCAGTTGTTT